CACCACGAAAGAAGCGTAAGATGTCGCATATCTCGGAAAACGAAAAAATTATGATATTATTTCTCAAGAAAATATATACTTACTAGAAAAAATAAAAACAGGTGGGAATCAAACACGCGCCTTGCGCAATCCGGGCGGCTGCGCTAACCACTACGCTAACGAGCACCTCATCTAAAATTAGCAGATTAATGCTAAAAATTAAAAATAATATAAATATTATATTATTTTAAAATTAAAAATAATATAAATATTATATTATTTTTAATTATACAATTTATCAATAAAAGAAAAAAAGGTTGTTTGCCCCTATAAGGTCATTGTACGTTTTTCCGCCTGCCTCTGAAACAGACTATAGTAAAATTAAAATATCTGGTAAAATTCAAACAGTCAAAGCCAATTACAGGATACTCACAGCATATTTACTCTAACACCCATATTCTTAGTCGTTTCCTCGAGATTTTTTCCACTCGACTCAACCTCATTGGAGGAAATTCGTATGCTTAGACAACAAAAATATCCTTCACTTGAGATATTCCTCACTCGAGTGGAGGTCGAGTCGAGGAATAAACTGTCAAACTCAAGGTAGCTCTCGACGTACCTTAAGGCTTCCTCGAGTGGTGTTTTCAAGTTGCTTTTGTCGAGAATTATGTCTGATTTTGAGATTATTGACGAATTTGTGGATTAAGTATACGATTTATTTATTTATTTATTCAGTAACACATACACGATGATTAACCATATAATTATCCGGCGCGACGGTATTTACGTGATGCCGCAAATCCTTTTAAGGTTTACGACAATGATTCGTTTCAAAGAAGAAAAGATACAGTCATACAAGTAATATTTCCTCTGTTAACCATTATAGAAATAAAATCCTCCAAATGATGACGTCACAATGTTGAGGAATTCTCAGTGGAGGAATTCTAGAGTTTGTTCAAGATACCAACTAGAATACCATTTTCGAGGTTATTTGGAGGAACTCCTTAAGGAGCCCTCGAATGAGTTTGAGTCGAGGAACGTTTGAGGACGCGATTAAGAATATGGGTGTAAGTGTCTACATGAAAAATGAGTTAAATCCGAAACTTGGTTTCAGCGGTAATACATTTACAAACTTAAGTGTTTTGAATGGGTTTATTAGATTTTAAATCAAGAATTTTGGAAACAATTTGCAGTTATTCTGTTTATTCATTAGCTATTTCAGGAAGCATTCGTCGTAGAGCATAATGGGTTTTACCTGTAGATGCGGCTTAATGAGACGGGTCGATTGGTATTATAAAAGTTCAGTAGCGGAGAAGTGCAGATAATCGGTTTTGGCACTAAGGGGACGATTTACTAACTAATAAACTTCTCGCTTTCTAAACGCGCTTTGTTCGTTATTTTGAAAATGTACATATTAATAATTGTAATTAGTAATAATAATTAATAGCAGTAACAATTAATTAATTCTTCGTTAATAATAATTATTAAAAAATAATGAACAAAAATATTTACAAAGAATAAGGAAATTTATTTAAATTCAAAATAGGGAACCGTTCTACTACAAAGGCGATGTTCTTGGCTGTATCAATTCGGTGGTCATTTTTTTACCATTTCGGTAGACAATTTTCATTTCAGTGGACTGCTGAAAACTCATCCTTAAATATTTCAATAAGTGGTGATTGTTGAATTTGACCCGTAGGATCGTTTAAAAATGGAAAAAAAACCATTAACAATATATTTTCTTTTCTTATTTTGCACCTTTAATTGCATTTTATGCAAAAACTATGGGAGATACGCGAAAATATGTTGATACCTTTTTTGTAGGAAATAAATTTTCTACAACTTTGTACTAGAAACTTTTTCTATTTTACCAGCCAGTCGCGAGATATTGACGAAAAACTCGTTTTTGCATCATTTCGCTTTTTTTCACTCTTTGCCGTCAATGCAGCACCCTGCAATTTTAGTATATTAATCTACGAACCCTTGCGGAAATTTTCGCGTTGGTTGCAGGTGATCAACTCAAAATGGTAAAGTTAAGCCTTCATTGCCTGGACTATAGAGCGCATTATATATATAATTCTTCTGTGAGTGTGTATGTCACTGAACTTCTCTTAAACGACTGGACCGATTTTGATGAAATTTTTTGTGTGTGTTCAAGGGGATCTGAGAATGGTTTAGATTCACAATTTTGTCCGCTGGACAACCCCTATTTTTTTAGGGCGGTACGAAGTTCGCTGGGTCAGCTAGTATATATATATAATGCTTAACGTTGAATGTTTCAACTACAGCAACGCTTCTCACAATCGAGCACTCTCAAAAGTAATGTTTTCGTGCTTAGAGTATTTATATGCTCTAAGTTTTCGTGTGATGCGTGCAATTGTACCAACTCAGTGACGGAAAATTAACAATTGTTTATTCTTTAAGTTGGCATTGATCGAAATGTTTTATTTATTTATTATCGTTAGTAATATTATTTATTGATGAAATTTTATCCAAGCTTTCGTTTTTATGTAGCTTTTTTTAAAACTAATCAAAGTTAATTCAAACTGTGTAAAAAAATAAATATAAGTATGGATGAAGGTACAAACATTGACTTTTATTTTCAACACTGAACTTAGCGCACTCTGCTGCTGCATTTGAAAACTAATTCACGTTCCAATTAAGCATCAGCATAATTCGGCATTGTGCGCCACGAGTCGCATTATGCTCTGTAATTCAAAAACTACCTTTGTTGTCGGTGAGTAATGGCGCTATTACACTTGCTCGTTAACCCGAATACGAGTGCCAATGGAATTCGGGTAATTTCCTTTTGTTTACCCGACACCGTCTTCTAGTGTAAATCTTAGAGCATAGAGATATAGAGAGCAGCTCTAAGAGTGTAAATATTGCTTCGGGTGCCCGAAATAGGGTCGTCCGTGCATTCGAATACGGGCTGAGGATCATTACTAGGTCAGCAAATCAACAGTATAATGATCTAATAAGCTTTTTAAATAATATACTTTTTCAATCATCGAAATCGGTTCTCAGCGGCTACTTAGTTTTCATAGAAACTTGGCGATGCGATAGGTTACGGGGCTCCCCTCAGTTTCGAGTGGTCTAGAGGCATCAGACGGAGAGGAGACTCCTCCCCGTGTGGAGATGCCATCCGCCTGCAATACCTCCAGAGGCACTCGCCAATTCTCGGCTCGAGGTCCCCTTAGGATCTCGCCGTCCCCAAACCCGGTGACGCTGTAAAGGTCATCTGCAACCAACAGCATACACTCTAAAAAAAAAGTTATGGGGCTGTCAAAAATTCGTGCTTGGGGTACTGATTTCGAAAGTACCACGCATTTTGCTGAATCCAGCATGCGGGCAGACGTCTTTCCCATTGGGCACTTTGGGTAAGCCCAGGGCCCCGCGATCGATAGGGGGCCCCCTCAGATCAAATACAAAGTCTCTAGTTCCTGTTAAATCACCAAACAGAAGTCATAGGGGCCCCATTATCCTAATATGCCCAGGGCCTCCAATAGGTCAAAGACGGCACTACATGCGGGAGAGCGTTATACACGTAAATGAGCTGCGAGATATAGGGTCTCTTTTACGCCTATAGCTCTGTCCCGCATTCTAGATCCAGCAAGATGAATAGTGTGTTGAAAAATAAGCAACCTTATTGTAACTTGTAAGCAGCGAAGTCGCAGACTTAAACGTAATAATATAAAAACCTCTGAAACATAACGAAATGGGATGAAAGTTGATAATTACATAAAAACAGAAGTAATTAACAATTTAATGTAATTTAATACTCAATACATCAATTTCATCTTTTGTACATTATAACTAAGTACCAAACACTATGATTCCAATTCAACGTTAATCTAGAAGCAAAAGTACTTCTCCCAGTAATATCTACCAACACCGAAAACTATGTATTAGGTAACTGAAACTATTTTTTTTTGTATTTTTAAAATGTCATGTAGTTAAAACAGAACAAAGTTTTTGCAAGACCATATGAAGATGCGAAAATAGTTATATATTTAGTATTAGTAGTTAAAACAAGATTAAAGGCATAAGTTATTTATCTTTTAATTTGTTCATCTGAATAGAATATAGAATGAGAGTTCTATAGTAATCACAGATTACACCTAAATATCGCAATACAACACAAGGTTAACGAAGTTTCCAACCAATGACATTAAAATTGCACTTCCATTTCATGTAAGTCAAGAAATTGAATATTAGAAAAGAATCCGCATTTTATTATTATAATTAATTGAACATTCACTACGTATTTGCTTCGAGTTGGCTGCTCCCACTGTCCCTGCCTTATCGCACTCCTAACCAGACCCTATTGGTTGACAGTACCAGTTGATGTGCCTGTGACACATTAAGTAACAGTATCGCCGACCAACTCAAAGCAAACAGGTAGTTTATAAGCATTGAGATTGTAGCTGAGCAAAACAATGAATATTAAAGTTTAGAAATTAATTCAATTGTTTTTAATTATACAATAAAAAGACTGTAACAGAAAAAACTAAGCATTAATACTAAAAGAGTAATATCATTAAATGTATATACATATTTACATCTTAATTTATATTTTACGGCATTCTATACTATAAAACAAGAGAAGTTTCTTAAAAAATTTGACAAACCATTTATAATATCTCTTACATTTATTCTTTTAAGAGAAAAATATATTTTCCCTGTTTTTATAATTTATGCCATACCCTAGTGCAGGTAATGAGGAAACTGGGATCAACAAGAAACTACACAAAAAATTTATCTAACGGACGTTTAGTGTAGAAGCCATATACAGTAGAGTGAAGTCAAAGTCACTATCCTTTCCAGTTTCAATACAACAAGCCTTTGCCATTAACCAAGTTTCCTGAAAGACTCAAAACCAGCTTCTAACCACATAACTATAGTGATATGAACTTAATATAGATTTAAGAAAGTTACATTTAAACCCATTTTTTTATTACTATTTGTTGATAATAGTATAAAGGTAAGCTTGTCATACAGCAACCTTTATAAATAAAAATGGCTTTTAAATGTCATAATTTACATTAAGATAACAACAGTTTCCTTATGTGGTATACCTTCAGGTGATAATATCAAGTTACAATTTAGTCAGCTACATAGTTCATACACAATCAAGACTGCAATCCACTCCACGGTACACAGCTCTAGACTGTATAGCAAAAAGCGAGACAGCAGGAAAAGTATGTATGTCTTTAGAGTATCGGCAAGATTACATTCATGTTGTTCTGCCTCTACAAATGTATCAAGTGTCATCGCTTCATGCTTTGGGTAGCCATTCATTGTCAGCTAGCCAGACGCTGGCTCCAATGCTTTAACCCCATCCGCTGTGAGCCCTTGCTTCTGACACCACTCCACAAAATCATCTATAAGGACTGGCCAAGCTCCTTCTGCATCATAGTTGCTCATACCATCATCAATTTGAGTGGCGAAATCTAGCAGGAGATTCCAAGTATCTTTTGGTATAGATCTCTTATGATGGTCCTGTAATGTCAAAGATTATTATATTTAAGTAATATGGTGAATAATCAAAATTCAAAGTCTAGTCATCAGTTAATAAAACTCCTTTCAATAGGTGTCATCACTCAGCAGTGAATGGAATTCTCTTCAATTATGTATTAATAATTATTTTACATAATTATATCGATAAATTTAGGTCAAGAAGTATGTAAAATTCTAATGGTTTCTATAGTATATTATTTCAGTGTTTTATGGAAGGAGTGGTCTAAGTAGAAATATAAAGAATATGGTACTGCCTTCAATTTATTGTTCAATCAACTATACTATTACTACTATGGGTATTATGTCATTTATCTACTAACTAGCTGTGTACTGCGGTGTTACCCGCGGTTTATTATGGATATTTTCCTGCAGTAAAACTTAGCTTATGTGTTAATCCAGGGTGTCAGCTAACTCCAAACTTTTGTTAAAATTGCTCCAGCCATTTAGATGTGGAGAAGTAACAATCATACACACTCACAAACTTACGCCTTTATAATATTAGTGTGATGAATGATTACTATAAAGATGCATGCTTTTTTAAAGCTTGTATAGGTCATAATATTCCGCATATGTTGTTATTTTATACTCACTGTGAGAAATTTACACCAAGCATCTAAAAATTTAAACCTCCCACGGAGCACAATATTCCAATAGGCTATTGCCATATCAAGCTCAAGGCCTTTTTGACCTGGATTCTTGGCATAATTAAATGTAAAGTGATAGAAATCTTTGAATTTATTTGTATCTTTTATTTCTGATTCCAGTGTTGGCAGTTTGGCTTTCAGTTTGTCTATACTGTCAGCCCCTAATTCAAGCAGACCCGTTGTAAACTCATCTTTTGTAAATTCACATTGCACAGCAGCTTTGCATTTCCATGCAATAATAAGAACTAAAATAGATTCAGGACTAAGATTTAAATCTTCTAGGAACTTCATAACACCATCCACGGTGATTTTATCCGTCTCTTGCTGATCTCTATACTTGTTAAATAGTTGTTCGAGCTTTTTTCTATCCACTGAAGCTTTCACGGGGTCTTTGTAGTATGCCTCAGGGTTCTGGAAGTAATTATCACTCGCGAGGTCCAGCTTCCAATCATTTTGCGAGAGACAATATATTGCCGTTGTCTCACTTGTTTGCGTGAATGCGACGAATTTCTTCACTTTATCTCTCTGTGATGATTTTAATTTATTCTGAAAGAAAACGCAGGAACGTCATAACCTCCTCATTGCTTAGCTGTCACAGAACCTAATTTTCTATTGTAAACAAATTAAATAAAATGTAATAGAATTTATTCGTGTTATGATTTGATAATATTACTCACCATTTTCGATATATTTTTGCTAAATTTGACTTTCACTGTTATTTCGACATCGGTACCAAAGTGAAATAACAGCACCATAGACAAATTTTATTGCCACAACAAACATTGAATTTACACCATAGAACAATATAGTATAGAGAATGAGAAAGAGAAACTGATGCTGTTAATATGAAGCACAAATATTTGTACAAAAACAAAAACACTTTCCAGAGCATCGTGAGATGAATGATCGCGTATCCCAAAAGAATAATAGGGCAATATATAAATGAACATTAGTGTCGAGTCTGTCTTCATTCTTTAAACTTAAAACTTAACACCTGTCTCTCCTTTTTATTCTGTATAGAGTATGACAAGGATACACTGATGTCAAAATTAAGTTTAGGTTTAGAGAAACAATAATCACTATTGATAGATAAGATTTTATTTCATCTTATTTTGAAGCATAGATAGGCAGGTACGGCAAAGCATTGTATTATTTTGAATTTTTCGAAACGCAAGCTTGTAAAGTTTTACAATTTTTTGGTACAAGCCGTAAAAATATGTTAATTATTTGACCGTTGATCCTAATTTTCAATGCGCTGTGTACAGAAGGTAATATTTTTTTTTAAGCACGGAGCTTAGGGAAAGACATGAATACGCAATCGACCATGACCATGCAATGCATTTAAATATTATTAATATTTTCATAAAATCAGTTTATAGTACTTTTAGAACGAAAGCTTTAAAATGCATTAAATTAACAAATATCGAGTTAATATCGATACCGACATGTACTCCATTTCCTGATTTCTATAGGACTATTTGATAGACTAGTAATACTTCAAAAAAAAACGATTACGATACGTTATGAAATCGTTCAACATTTCTGAATATAAAATGTAAATAAAATTGCGCAGTAAATATTTTTATATATAACAATTACAAGATTAAAACATATTAACAAGGAGAATACTGTAGGCTATAATTAACATTTTTATGATAAATAAATAGACATATAGAATTTTATCGGACATTTGTAAGTATGAATTTTTAGATTGGTACGTAGGAATCATGTTGTTAAGAACACAATTTTGTACGTACCGTCAGTCGTCAGGTCATGCATGTCACTGTCAAACAGAAACAGCTGATATTTTGATAATTGCATTGCATTGCAGAAGGGCTGTTTTTTGCACTATTCCAGTGTGTGATTGCGATTAGGATTACAAATAAAATGATAGTAATTATTGTCAATAAAGATCAGACATAAAAATGAATTTACCTGTCCTGAGGCTTTCTTTGCCTAATCGTAAAGTATGTAAATGGATTCACACAAAACTTACACGTGTAAGGTTTGCACCTAGCCCTACCGGTTATTTACATCTGGGTGGGTTAAGGACTGCCCTCTACAATTATTTATTTGCAAAATCCCGTGGTGGTACATTTGTATTACGGATAGAAGACACCGATCAGACGAGAAAAGTTGAAGGTTCCATTGGTGCACTGATGAAAGATTTAGATTGGGCTGGTATAGAGTGTCATGAAGGGCCCAAGCAAGGAGGCAATTTTGGCCCTTACATACAGAGTGAAAGGCTTCAAATATACCAGTGAGTATGCATAGTGTTTGTATGTTACAAAAATAAAGGATACTTTTGTTATGTTAATATTGTTTTTTATATATCCCTTGTTATTAAGTTTTGTTTGTGATCTGATCAGTCTTTTAGAGGCTTGTACAGAGGCGGCGTAAGGCGTGGGCGACGTGGGCCACCGCCTACGGTCTCGCAGTAAAAGGGGCCTCGCCCCTCAAAAATTTTTATGCAATGCTTGCTGCAAAAAAGCTTGCTCTTTTTTTTTATTATTTTATTAAATCTCCACAGAACAGTGCCTCGCGAAATCTGTTTTGCCCACATCAAATTTAGGTCTTGCCCCTCCTTGTTGATATAATGGATTTTATCTTGTTTTCATTTGATGTTTCATCTTTTGTTTACCTGTTCTCTAGTTTGCTACAGTAATTTGGAAATATAAAAAAGCACATATTTAAATGATCATAATAAACAGGGATTGATCCTGAAACAATACAATTGGTAACCTAACCTTACAAATTGTAAAGTCATTTTGATTATTTTCTATGTAAAAATATACATCTATAGTCTATTCACATTAGCGTGAGACAAAATGTAAACAAACCATAAAAAGGATACTTTTCAAGGTCACGTCTGACAAAAGAAAAGATTAAATACTATTTACATAGGAAATGCAGGGAAACATTAAGTTAATTATTTTAAAAGCTGGTACATACATATGAATAGGAGCATAGAATATTTCACACATATTTAATGTACATACTCATCATAAATTCCTATGTTTTTATTTTGCTGATAAAAGTATTTTAACAACTTAATTTGACATGGAATAAGACCTAAAAACACAATCATTCCCAAACTTAAGACGTATTATAATACAACAAAATTTAAGAGTAGACATGATATAAGTATTTTACGTTGAAGTGTTGTGTTTTGTAATCAGTTAGTTTACGTTATTACTTTTTTAGAGAGCATATAAATACTCTGCTGAACAATGGGTCTGCATATAAGTGTTTTTGTACTGAACGGCGCTTGAACTTAATACGGAGAGATGCTGTAAGATCCCAACGGATACCGAAATATGATAACAGATGTCGTACTTTGTCTGCAGATGATATCAAAGAGAAAATAAATTCTGGTATTCCATATTGCATAAGATTCAAGGTAATTATTTAAAGGAAGTGCTTTTCTTAAAGTTCATTTTGCCTTCTGGCTTCAAATGCTGCAAGGAGAATTTTATGTGTGAAGCATAATCAAATTGGTCCCAAGTCCTATATACAATGTCTAATAGAAATTACGCATACTCTAAAAGTAGTTTGGTTAGAATTAGCTTCTGATTCAATTTTAATAAAAAAATTGGTACATTTAATATAAACAAAAGAATATGATAGTGCTATGAAGTAATATGGGCATTTTTTAAATCCAACTGTAGTTTAAATATATTTACTAACATTAATATATCACAGATCAAATAGAGTGTGTGTTATTTTTTGTTACACATTCTATATGTTTAGCTTACTAATGTCTGCATTGTATGTGATGAATGGTTGTATATTGCTGGAATTTATTATAAATATAATTAAAACAAAAATAAACCAAGATTAAAAAACTAATATTAATAACAAAAAAGTCCTATCATGCTCATAGATTTTACTTTTTATATCATATATCAATTACCACATTTATTTATGTGACCATTCATAAAATACAATACTTTAAAAAAATGCTTTAAAAAATTATATATAAAGCTACAATACTTTAGTTAACCTGCTACAAATTACTAAAGATTCGATTACTCAAGTCATTACAAATTAATGTAATTTTGTTATCTTTAATGTACTTTTTTTTAACAAGTCATTTGTGAGTTGTTTAACAAACACATGACTACATATTTCTTTAACTTCAAATGTAGGGATGTATTTATGTCCACTTGCAGAAATTTTGCTAAATCTCAATTTAACTTAAACTACTTAGATATAATAGTCCATACAATAATGTCAAATTGACATTGACGTTTTGACATTTTTCTATTGATTAATTCTAGTTTTAGTTGAATTGAGATTTAGCAAAATTGCTACGAGTGGCCCTTATTGTCTTAACTCTACCATTAGCTTTCTTCAGACTGCTCATCGTTCGAAGATTTAATATTTGGTGGGATAGCATATGATGTCTCCCTGAATGAAGGCGACCCAGTACTGATGAAGAGCGACGGTTTCCCGACCTACCATTTTGCCAACGTGGTGGATGACCACCTCATGAATGTGACACATGTACTCAGAGGTGTTGAATGGCAGATATCGACAACAAAACATTTACTGCTTTATAAGTAAGTCAAATAAAGTATAATTTTATTTTTTTTAAGAATGTAACTGTTCGATGTTTAAATCTAAAGAAAATATTACTACAATAAATTCCACGCGGACCAGGCAGGAGACGGGACTCGAACCTGCACCCTTCGCTATCAAATTGCCGTGTCAAATTCTTTCTAGCCTTTCTTAAGCTGCAAGGCAGCGCCATCTCTGAAATAAAGTAGTTGGCTTTACGTTTTTCTTAGTTCTGTGTGTGTACATTTTTATTACTTTACTAGCGCCTGCTTGTGTTAAATATTTTTTTATATAATTTGAGAATCTCGTAAGACCAACATTTTCCGGGAAGAAAAGTATACTTTGTCTTAATCCAGTTAATAAACTTTGTATGGCAAATTGTATCCAAATCCCTTCAGCCGCTTTGCGTGATTAAGTAACAAACTTTCACTTTTACAATATTAGTAAGATTAGTCCGATTAAGATCAGTTGCTCTTAACATTGAATTTCATGCTGCAAATGTAACTGAACAATTTCATCTGCACCATTGGTGGTATTCAGTACAACGGACAATGAGTTACAAACAGATCTTTTAAAAATTTATTACTAGAGCACTAAAGTGCTAGTCTGAGAGTTTCAACTGATAAGATATACTGATTTAAACAAACCTTGTTAATAAAATCTACTAAAAGTAAAAGATTAACAAACTTATTGGCTCTTAAGAAAATATTACTAGAAAAAAATCCATGCGCACCAGGCAGCAGACGGGACTCGAACCCGCACCCTTCGCTATCCGGGCGAATGCACTGAACATTATGCTACCACGTCCCCTCAGTAGGGGATTTTTTTCTAGTAATATTTTCTTTAGAATGTAAACATCGAGCATACATGCATAAGAAATAAAAATTATATTGACTCTTATTTCTAGGGCCTTTGGGTGGACGCCCCCGCAATTTGGCCATCTTCCGCTCATTGTGAACTCTGATGGTACAAAGCTGAGTAAAAGGCAGAGTGATGTGAAAGTAGAAGATTATAGGATTAAAGGTACGCGTGATGACCACAGAACAAAGAAAGATTTTAGAATGGTGATCATGGACCACATCGTCATATGAGCATATCGTCGAGAGCCAAACCTCGAATTTTGCAATTTTTATACGCAATTATTAGCGTTAAACTATTGTTGTCCCTATCATACGGTTTTTGCAAATGCGTGAAAGCAGTAGTTTTTTCAATTACCTCTTTCTCAAATGTCTCTCAGCTCGCGTTATGAGCATTTGCTCACTTACAACTGTGGAGTGCCTGCCCCGCCCACAAGGTTCTACTATTCTCTTTCTGTGTTCTGTGGTAATGACTATTACTTTTAAAAAGATTTGATTAAAAAAAAGGGGTAGTTCGAGGCCTCGAACAATCAACACGTAAATTTAATCGTGTCTTGTATAAAATTCGAAAAGTGTGTGTTTGAGTATTGATTCGTGATTAACTGTGTAACACTCAGAAACAAACTCCTACTGGTGTTAACAGGAATGTAATTAATTGAATTAACTTGCGTTTAATCGGTGAAAAGACAAAGTGAACACGGCATATGACTGTATTGCAAAGTGAATGAATAAAAACAACGTAGGTGGATTGATAAAATTGTTAGTTATCGTTGGTCAGCGTGATATGATTGATCATTTCACAGATTTGTCTGGGGTTCTCATCGGCGTAGTGGCTTAGTAGTTGTGCAGTGAAAGCCGACAGGCCCAAAGTTCAAATCACCAAGTCGTTTTTTTTTTGTTTGTTTGTTTTTATTTTTAATTAGTTTTGGATTCTTTTTTATTAGTGGTTCTTATTTTCTTATTTTTTTACCTTATATTTAAAATTAATTTTTGAAAAGGGAAAACAAGAAGGACAATTTATTCTCTGACTAGAATAATGGCGGATCAGAACAATACTTGTGCCGGTTGCTTGCAACCAATTAGCGATAGACGTTTCCTACGCTGTGGTACCTGTCGGCAATGTTATGACATATTGTGTGCGAATGTATCAGAGAAACGCTTTTATAATACATTGACCGGTGAGCATAGACAAAATTGGAAGTGCCCTCTCTGCGCAAATAAACTGCCCAAGAGCGATAATACCAACACTCCGGTGCGGGCTACCACTGATGGCGTCACCGTGCGAAGGGGAGCGGGAATTTTAGACAGCCACTCTGATGAAATGGATATTTCTATACCAGATGCTCATAATACTGCTCTGAGTGATCACTCTCACACTGTGCACGAAGACGCATTAGATAAGTTGGATTTAATTGTCATCGAGCTGCGAATGTTACGAGAGGAGATGACTACAACAAGGTGTGAAATGGAGAAGCTAAATAATAACATCTCGCAACTTACCACCAGGATCGCAACTTGCGAATGTCTGGTCGACCAACTGGATGAACGCATAGGAGCTCTTAAGAGACGCATTGAGAGTAAAAATACAGAGGGTGACAAAAGTGACTCGCTTTTGGCTACTATTGAACTACTCAAACAAGACCTTAACGATCGTGATCAGGAGATGCTTGCAAATGACGTCGAAATATCTAGTATTCCAGAGAATAAAGGTGAAAATGCAACACATGTAGTAATGACACTTTCAAAAAAATTAGGTGTCGTCCTCGAGGAGCAGGATATCGTGAGCGCTTTCCGTGTGGGGCGACCAGTGGAGGAAAGTGAATCGCTGCCGCCAGCTCGGCCACGGATCTTAATAGTGAGGCTGACCCGTCGAGCGGTACGAGATCAGCTGCTGAAGGCTGCCCGTGTGCGTCGCGACGCTACTACGGAAGGCACTGGCATTGATGGCCCTCCGTGTCGTTTTTATGTCAACGAGCGACTAACCCGTGCAAACAGAATGGTGTTTCGCCGCGCTCGTGAGATGGCAGCGCAGTACAAGTGGCGGTATGTTTGGACCAAGGGGGGGTGAGTGTATGCACGTCAATATCAGAACGACAAATCACCGCGTCATCAATTGCGATCGGAAGCTGATGTACTTCGTGTTTTTGGCCTTGGTGCAGTTGGCTCATCTGAATCTTCGAGTGCATGCGAGTAACAACTCAAACTTGTATTTGCTATGTTATAATAAGATGCATTTCTCCTCTATGGTAACTTGTAATGGTTATACTATATTGATTTATTCTAATTTTAATGAAAATTGTAGTATTGTTTTTTTACTAATTGCCTCTTTAAATTTGATTTTAAATATGCCGAATTACTATCTTATGTGGCTAGTATGTGCTATCTATAAAATAATTGTAATTGCTTTTATCTGTTGGAGTGTGATCATTTATTTCATATTGAATGTACATGTGTGTGAATGTTACATTTATTTGCTATTGTATTCGTATTTTGTATTTCACTTATATGATTTTAATAATATGAACTTTTATTTGTTATTGAATGAGACGTATTGTTGCTGTTTTATGTGTTTAGGAACAATCAATGAAATAATAGTTGTTTATTGCTGTGCTTATAATTTTGAAAGTATTAATTTAATTTTGAATGTACCGCATTGCTATCATATGTGTTTGGTTTGTGCTATTGTTATATTATTAATAATTGCTTATATGCTTTGTCGTGCACTTTTATTCTTTGAGTCAAATGTGAATGTATGGCATTGTTTCTGTATTTATTCGCAATTGTATATGTATTCTATGCTTCAGTTATTTGCTTTTAATATTTATGCTTTTCATTTGATTCCAATCGTGCCGTATTACTCTGGCTCGCATGTATTTCTTTTTTATTTTGTGAGTGCTATTGATACAATAAACTATTGGCCTGAAGTAGTTGTCGGTATCCGATTGAGCATGGATGTGTCGTGCTACTCGTGGGTATGTCTGGCTGCCTTTGTTGTAAAAGTTCTACATCTGGAAATATCAACCTTAATTATTTATGCACTTCTGTGGTATCTCGCATGTCTTCTATTGCCAATTCGTTCCTATGAATACCGTTCTCACAATGGTAGGCATAAAGAATAAATGTTTGAGATTGGGATTGTTGAATGCGAGATCTTTGAATACAGGTCAAGATGAATTTGTTGTAATGTTATTGAAGCATGCACCTGACATTCTGGCGGTTAACGAAACGTGGTTGAAGGAAAGGCAAGTGCAAAATTATAGATTCATTCACAGGCCAAGAAAGAATGAGCGAGGGGGAGGAGTTGGTTTTTACATAAGAGAAGATCTAAAAGTACGTAAGAAACAACACCCGAAGTCTAACTTGGAACAAATTTGGTTGGAAGTTCAACTTTCAGGAACTGCGATGGTGATTGGCACAGCTTATAGACCTGAAACAGTAGAACCACAAGTACTGTATGACGACTTAAGTGAATCTTTAAGTTGTTTTTCAGCGTATGATTATGCATTTATTTTGGGAGACTTCAATATCAATATGTGGAATGCTGCGACATCACAGTCTCAGGAATTCAAGGATTTTTGTGACCAGCATGGCCTTAATCAAATAGTGAAGGAACCGACCAGAGTAACTGACAAAACGGAAACTCTTATTGATGTTGTTTTGACGGATGCACCAAAGCGATGTAAAAAGGTAACTGTTGTCCACAATAGAAGTTTGAGTGATCATGCACTGGTATTGGTAGATTTTAACATCAAAAAACTAAAACCCATAAAAAAAGTTAAAATGTCTAGATCTCTAATGGATATCAATCTTCCACTGTTCAGAGAAGACTTAGAAGCTATTGAATGGGAAAATATTATGGAGATGGAGGATGTTAATGCTATGGTACAAACCTTCAATAAAAACATCTTGGATTTGTTTGACAAACACTCTCCGGTGCAGAAAAAGATCATAAGACCAGAAGTTAAGCAGTGGATTACAAATATGGTCAAATATATGATGGAACTACGAGACAAAGCATTGATAAAGGCTCAAAAGAAAAAGACGACTGGCGCAAAGGAGTACTACAGAAGTCTTAGAAACCTTGTCAGTGCGTCGATAGAAAGAGAAAAAACAGCCTACTTTAATTATTTCCGTTCTAGTGAAGAATTCCAGGAAACTTTGGAATCAAATAAAAAAATGTACTCCGACACTAGAATCCAAGATATGTTCAATCCCAGACTATTTAAATGACCCCAATAATATTAATAAACATTTGTTGGACCTACCAAATGGTGGAGATGTGGAAAATAGTTAGTTAAAATAGTTCTGCGGTATTTTAGAGAGAATTTGCACAGCGGCGTGGGTAAGTTTTTTCTGAAACCTGTAACAGAAAGGGACATAGCAAGGGCTTTAAACAGTATTAAAACGAAGGTATTGGGGTGTGATGAAATCAGTATAGACATGATTGATATGACGTCTTCCGTAACACTTCCGGTTGTTACGAGGATTGTCAATAAATAGATTGAAACTAATGTTTTCCCTGATTGCTGGAAAAGAGCGTTGGTAAAGCCCTTGCCAAAATCCAGTGCAGTTGAAGGACTCGAAGATCTGCGGCCAATTTCCATACTACCGGTTTTGTCAAAGGTTTTGGAAAGGACTGTTCTCAATCAGATAAACGAGTGTTTGGAGAGTACGAATATAATGCCCAAGTTTCAATCAGGATTCCGAAAGGGCTTTGGCACGGAAACTGCTTTATTGCATGTGTCGGATGATATCACGGAAGCTTAAGATAGTGGTCAAAGTAGCGTCATGGTACTTCTTGATTATTCAAGGGCATTTGATTGTTTGCCTCATGAGTTGCTTGTTGCTAAATTGCAATATTATGGTTTTTCTGCTGACGCTCTACAGTGGGTCAGGTCTTTTTTAGCCGATAGAGAACAAATGGTACTTGTGGAGGCACCAAACGGTGAAAAACTAATGTCTTCTGTTTGTAAAGTACAGCGTGGTGTTCCACAGGGCTCGATTCTAAGTCCGCTATTGTTCTCTATATTTACGGCGGATCTCCCGGCACATATATTATCTTGTAAGTATCATCTTTATGCCGATGACACACAAATTTACCACTCATTTCAAAGAGGAGATACGAATGATGCCATTGAAAGAATCAACACCGATATGCAACGCATTTGGGAGTGGTCACGACGGAACAACTTATTACTAAATCCAGAGAAGTCTAAAGCAATCGTCTTGGGAACCAAAGATCAGATCAGGCGAGTGTTGGATTGTAATAAAGTTGTTAAATTAAACAATACCGTTATTGAATTTGTTACAAATGCACGTAATCTGGGTATAGTACTGGACGGGGAACAAAAATAGGTACAACATGTTAATGGCAAACTTAGGGGAGCCTTCTTCTGGTGTTGTCTCCTTTCAACTACTGCAGCACCGTCTACGGACCACGGCTGAATGTGAACACAGAGAAGGCTATACAACGAGTACAAAATGCCTGTATGCGATTCTGTTTTAAAATCCCAAAGCGTGTTCACATTACTCCGTATCTGAATAAAAACCAGATCCTTAACATGAAAGCGCGCCGGGAGCTCCATTACGCATGCTTAATACAGAAAGTACTATGGCGGAAAGATCCAGTATACCTTTTTGAAAAATTGATCTTCTTCAGGGAATCTAATATGAATCTTCGCTCTGCCACGCAAAATCTGCTCAAAGTTGCTGCTCACAAATCTGCACGATATAGGGGATGTTTCAGGTTCAATGCAGCAAGGATTTGGAATGACCTACCTCCACCCCTTCGTTGTAAAATGAATATATCAAAATTCAAAAAATACTACAAAGCAGCCTTACTTCATAAACAACTTGCTGCGGAAAACCTGAAGCATCCTTACCATAGCCACTTGCCGCTCTTTTTTGTTTGACTGAGGCCTAGCCAGTGACGCATGGAGGGTAACGAGTAGGGCGAGTACATCTATAGCAAGTAGGAGTAGACGTTAATGCACGAAACATGTTCCAATATTAATTATCATAATATGGATTATTCGAGGCTCTCTATATTATTAATTTTAAGTAAAATTTGTTAAGGGGTGGCTGAAAAACAGCGTTGGTTCAGGTCTAGGCTTGACCAACATTGGCTGAGCCATTTCCTATTGTCTTATTTTTAATGGAATTTTTATTTAAATATCTGTTGTAACATGTAAAAAAAAGACAATAAATATTATTATTATTATAATTATAAAAAGAGTGTAATGTTTTCAGGGTTCATGTATGTATGTACAATTCTTTATTAAGTTCTAAACGCCTGAACCGTTTCAGATGTGTGTGATGTATCGTTAGAATCCTTTCACCACTGCGGGTAACATAGGATACGTATACTGTCAAAATTGAAATAACGGCAATGATAATCTTTTTTTTTTATTGACGTTTCGTTTATTATTACGACATAGTTATAATTTGAAAGGTCTTAATGAGGCCATCATCATCAAATATATACAAATACTAGCTGACCCAGCGAACTTCGTACCGCCATAAAAAAATAAGGGTTGGTGGTAGAAAGTTGAAAATTTAGGGATGTATGTATTTTTGTATGATGTATCATAAAAAATTATAAAAAAAATCTAAAATTGAAAAAAAAAATTTTTAGGGGTGGATTACCCTTAACATTTAGGGGGATGAAAAATAGATGTTGTCGGATTCTCGGACCTACCCAATATGCACACAAAATTTCATGAGAATCGGGAAAGCCGTTTCGGAGGAGTTTAACCACAAACACCGCGACACGAGAATTTTATATATTAGATAGTAGCATTTTCACGGCAGTTGTGCTTTTTAATTTCAAGCTGACCCACCGAACTTTGTACCGCCATAAAAATAGGGATTGGTGGTAGAAGGGTGAAAATATAGGGTTGTATGTATTTTTTAATGCCGAATCATAAAATAAAAAAAAATGCCATTTGGGGTGGACAACCCTTATCACCAAGGGGTATGAAAAATAGATAGTAGCCGATTCTCAGACCTACTGAATATGCATATAAAATTTCATAAAAATCGGTCAATTTCATAAAAATCGGTTTAGCATTATATATAAAGTTTTAAATATATTTAAGATTTACCCTATATACATATGATACTTAAGCTCCTTTTTAAGAGAATGAGGAACTCTATGGCGTATGTGGTTAGCGCGTTCATTTTGCGGTCGTGGTAATTAAGCAACTTTCACAATGGCAGATATTCGGGTGGGTGACCAAAAATTTACCATCTCAAGCTCCTCGTGCTACGGAAGGCACGTTAAGCCATTGCAGCACAAACACAAGCACAAGTCCCGGCCACATCTGCATTCGTTAGCTTAAATAATATTTTGAATGTTTCATCATCATCATCACCAGCCTATTAATGTCCCCACTGCTGGGGTACAGGCCTTCCTTATGGATGGAATAGGGAGATTGGGCCAAGACCCACCACGCATGCCCAGTGCGGATTGGTGGGTGCTGAGGACTGCCAATACAGCCGGGACCAACGGATTAACGTGCCTTCCGAACCACGGAGGAGCTCGAGATAGTGAGTTTTTGGTCACCCATCCAATGACCGACCACTGCGAAAGTTGCTTAACATCAACTATCGCAACCGAACGCGCTAACCACTTGCGCCATCGAGCTCCTCCATGAATGTTTACATGTTATATTTTTTAATTTGTTAACATAAATAAAAAAAAGGGAAGATAAGGCACTCGCGGCTCAAAAGTGATCCGCTTAAATTGTGTTGTGGTGCATGACCACAATTCGCTTTAGTCACAATTGGACATTCAAATACGCTGCAAGTGCACTCAATATAACAATATTGTGTATATTCTGTCTTATAAAGAAAAAACAATGCCTTTGAAGCTTTTATAAAGACTACAAAAAGTTCAATATCATTTTATTCTCGACTTCGACACGAAATCGATTTCCGAAAAATGTGAATTTAGGCATACTTTCCCCCAGTAAAACGTAGCCTATGTGTTATTCCAGGGTGTCAGCTAACTCCATACCAAATTTTATTAAAATCGCTCCGGCCGTTTAGACGTGAAGAAGTAACAAACATACACATTTAACACAAACTTTCGCCTTTATAATATTAGTGTGATTTATTATGCTTAAATAATGTAAGACTCCTTTTGTTGTAGGTATATATCCTTTAGCGTTAGTTAACTATATCACCCTATCTGGCGGTGGCTTCGAGCACGTTCCAGGAGAGGGCGTCAGGCTTAAAACAATGGACGAACTAGCTCAAGAGGTAACGATTCTTTGCTCATGAACCAAATATATGTTAATACTAGCTGACCCAGCGAACTTCGTACCGCCATAAAAAAATAGGGGTTGGTGGTAGAAAGTTGAAAATTTAGGGATGTATGTATTTTTGTATGATGTATCATAAAAAAAATCAAAAAAAAAACTAAAATTGAAAAAAAAATGTAGGGTGGATTACCCTTAACATTTAGGGGGATGAAAAATAGATGTTGTCCGATTCTCAGACCTACCCAATATGCACACAAAATTTCATGAGAATCGGGAAAGCCGTTTCGGAGTAGTTTAACCACAAACACCGCGACACAAGAATTTTATATATTAGATACTATAAGGTACTTATCTCAGGGTCTATGTAGCCTGATTATAAATAAATAAATAAAATAAAAATACCTTCCGCCTGCGACTTCATTCGCGTTAAAGGATAGTTAGATTTTGAGAATCCCACAGGAACGTAACATTTTTCCGGAATTAAAAAGAATCTTGTCTCAATCAGGTAATAATGTGTCCCCAATTTAATCGAAAAAAAAAAAGTACAATATTCCAATTTATTATCATAGTAGGTTTTTTTTTACAACTATGAAGCTTTTTTGACTATTCACAGAGTAAGAGTAAAAACTTATCTTCAAATTATTTTTCTTTGAATTCCAGTTTCAAATCGACAGGATATCTTCACACCCCAGCCGTTTAAACCCAGACTTGCTTGAAGAATGCAACAGATTAGAGATAAAACGACAACTCCAAAGTCCGGACCAAGCTCAGTTAGTCGCCAGACTTCAAGAACTTATCAAGCAGACGTATCCTGAGAAGAGCTTAAATATATCTAAAGAGCATGTTGAGAGTGTGTTGAATTGGGCAGTTGCTAGAATAACTAAGATAGAAGATTTGGTGTCTCCGGCATTCGGCTTTCTCTGGATTCTACCTAATAGGAAGCCGGAGGACGTGAATGCAGAGCTGTTGAGAAAACTAGTCGATCATCTGGCAAGTCTGGATCAGTTCGAGGAAATCACTCTCAAACATAGTTTAAAGGAGTTTTCCTCTGACAATGACGTGAAGTTTCCTGCTCTTATGAAGATGCTCAGGTCTGTTCTGAGCGGGCTAAGTGAAGGCCCTAGCGTTGCCGAAATGATGCAGTTGCTGGGCAAGAACCAGTCGTTGGATCGAATAAAAGCTGTTGTGCGATGATGTGCGTTTTATTTATGGAGCACCACAATAAACTTTTTATCGCGTCTAACTGTCAAACTTCATAGTATTTTGACAATTGAGCGTGATAAAATCGCATTATATATCATATCGCGGTGCTCATGCTAGTGGGGCAGCCCCCGTAGCATGAGTACTACAATTATATTAAATCACGGTTTTATCGCGTCTAACAGTCAAACTCCATAGTAATTTGACAATTGAGCGTGATAAAAACGCGTTATATATCATGTCGCGGTGCTCATGCTAGTGGGGCAGCCCCCGTTGCATGAGTACTACAATTATATTAAATCACGGTTTTATCACGTCTAACTGTCAAACTCCATAGTAATTTGACAATTGAGCGTGATAAAAACGCGTTGTACAATATATCGCGGTGCTCATGCTATAAAATTATATGATATTTTTTTATCACGCTTAATTGTCAAATTACTATGGAGATTGACAGTTAGACGCGATAAAAAACGTAATCTAAATTATGGTGCTCATGCTGCGGGGACTGGTTTTTTGTTTATTTATTTATTTATGGACCATCAACACAGCTATATTAATACAAACAAACTTACACATATGCTTAAGTATTAGGATATAAGGATTGACTATAGGTACCTATCACTCTATAAAATTATGGAATGAAATAAAGGAAAGGAATAATTATGGATTTTCTAGTTATATTTTCTTTAGATGAAATAAAGGCTTTAGAGGTTATTTTGGTACATGCAGTACGAATAGATATAGAAACCAGATGAGGACCATTAATTTATATATACAGAGTGTTACAGAATTCCGAAATAAAATTTGTAGGTATGTATTCCGAAATAAAAATTTGTAAGTATCTGAGCGGGGCGCAGGGGCGCCTGGGGGAGAGAGGGGGTCTGTTTAGGTAGTAGTAATTGTACGCATTTATAGGGTTGTCATAGGCAGGTGTAAAACGATATTTTTCTTAATTTAATAAGAAAATAAAAGTGGTCTGAAAGGCGTCAAACTTTCGTAGGTAATTCTATACAAGGAACACAACCAAACCCTAAAGTTTTATTTCGGACTTTTGTCACACTCTGTATACATAATTTTATCAAACTTTGTAATTCATATCTAACAGCTTGTCAAGTCCTTTAGAGAACTGTTAATTAACTACCTTATTATTAATAATGTTATTACTATGTTCACCACTAATGGGTTCTTGACCTAGATAAAATCAACAACTCTGTTATAATAGGAGTGATAAGTGATAACGGAGTAAACGAAATTCTGTATATACGGTCAGTTAGATTATGAAGAAATAATGGACACAATTTTTTTATTTTGTCAATCAACCAAACATTAGAAACGTAAAGGACGTCAAAGTTTGGGAATGGGGGCTCGTGACGTCACGATGACATTTCAAATCAATAGTATATTTGTAATGTTTTGATTACTTAACAGAAAAAAGGAAAAGTACGTATGCAATACCATTTGATAATCTGCTTGATAGCCGAATAAAATAAAGTTTGTTGGTGCAGTAATTGGAGTTCTGTCTGTAATCGTGGGTAGCAACTTTCGCAATGTCCGATCACAGATGGGCGATCAAAACCTTATCATTGCGAGATTATCCGTGCTTTGTTAGAGACTATTAACCCCGCCTTCATCTACAGTCGTCTGCATCTTTCGTGGCCTGATTTCTTATTCCATTGCTAGGAAAGATCTTTATAATTAAATAGACGTCAGATAACGTATTAACTGCACGGTAGCAGCCCAAAACTATCTACTACATATGGTAGATAGCCCGCACCCTTACCAGACTTAATAGGGACAAACTCCGCATAATTATAGGAACCTTAATTGGCCATTGTCCCCTAAACAAACACTTATATACAATAGGAGTAACAGACAGTCCCCAATGCAGAGGATGCATGGAGGCAGAAGAAACGCCACAGCATGTCATCATGGAATGCAGGAGCGTGGCCGACCAACGGGCACGACTTCTCCAGTCGCCAGCATCGCTTTCGGAAGCTTGTAGCAGTCTACCAAGGCTGCTTTCCTTCTGGACTAACCTAGGCTGGCTGGAGTAAACGGGAATGTATCAAGACACGCACAATGGTCCAATGATTAGGACTAGGTGCGGAAACCGCCCTGAAAAACTAACTAACTATATGGTAGATACGCTCATCGCACATGTTACACACAGACAGAATCTGACATCAGAGTCACGCACACATTGCGCGTAACATGAGCCGTTTTATTTGCGTGGTTTATTTAAATTGCTCTATCTAGTATATTAAAGCGCTGATGTGCTGTTAATTATAGCCCATTTTCTACATTTTCAGGTTTCCAAATGGTCTGTACTCCATTAGTGTAACAATCATATGGCGCGATTAAACTTGGTCGCTAGCCCGAATACGAGTGCCAATGGAATTCGGGTAAATGACTAAGTATAAATGAACGCAGTCGAGTACGCCTGTATTCGAGTATTCCTTTTGTTTACCCGACACCGTCTTCCAGCCCGTATTCTAGTGTAAATATTGCTTCGGGTGCCCGAATTCGGGCTAGCGACCAAATGTAATTGCTGTATTAGATTGAGTTTTCGGGAACAATGCTAGCCCGTTGACGCTGACTTGGAGTGCTATTCTGTAAAGTGACTTCCACACGATACAATTTTACGTCCAATTTGATTAGATTGACAATCGAATTGTGTTCTGTGGACGAAAATATGAAATTGAAGGTCATTGGATGGTCGGTATCGCCCGATTCGGGATTGCCCAATCAAATTGGATGGTGTGGACGCTAACTGGCCAATTTTTTAACGTAGTCACTGTGCAAGCGGCGTTCAGAGCGGGTGTGTGCGTTGACTTGTCTTTTGAGAAGAAGATGGAGCAACATGACGACAAAATTATGTCTATTCGATCTGAACGGGAAGTAATGGAGGAGATTTTAGATATATGTAAAGACTTGCCATGCCTTTGGGATGTGTCTAACCCATTATATAAAAATAAACAAGCAAGGCATAATTCCTTAGAGATTGTGCGGAATAAGTGGAAAAATATTGATAAAAATATTACTGTTATAATTTTTATTATTTTTAAAGCATGTAACTGCTTGATGTTTAAATCTAAAGAAAATATAACTAGAAAAAAATCCACGCGGACCAGGCAGTTATTTGTTATAGAAAATAAAAAATCATTTAATTAAATTTATATTCTACTCAATGATATGTGCGCATGCTGGGGTAAAAAAGAAATAATATTATATATATTTTTTTATGATTTTTATTTTTTAAGCATGTAATTGCTTGATGTTTAAATCTAATGAAAATATAACTAGAAAAAAATCCACGCGGACAAGGCAGCAGACGGGACTCGAACCCGCACCCTTCGCAATCCGGGCGAATGCACTGACCAATTATGCTACCGCGGCCCTCACGGACCGGGTCGAAATTCTTCCAGCCATTCTTAAGTTGCAAGGCAGCGCCATCTCTTCGCATTATAGGTAACCCACAATGTCAAATAAATACTTTTACAAGTATTAAACATTTGAAAGAAGAAATAGCAATTATAGTTATAATTTTTATTATTTTTAAAGCATGTAACTGCTTGATGTTTAAATCTAAAGAAAATATAATTCAGTTATATTTTAAAGGGTTTTCGAAGGGTGCGGGTTCGAGTCCCGTCTGCTGCCTGGTCCGCGTGGATTTTTTTCTAGTTATATTTTCTTTAAAAATATTACTCTTTAAGTATAACTATATTTAAGTTTATTAATTGAGTCACTTAAATATAATATAACTACATTTAAGTGCCTCAATTGCTTTCTTTTTAATAACCATTGTTTTGTCCACAGTCTTCTTTTTCTTTTTTTCTCATCTACATTTGTAGTTAATAGCCAAGATTAATCCAATTTTTTGCTTCTTGGTTAGAGGCATCCTAATACAAACAAGTCCGTTCAGCAGAAGCAACAAATAAAACTGAAATTGGCGATCTTGTTGTGTATGTGTAGACGACGTGGTCGTCGTCAACAATCTGGTGATTGTACCCAATTCAATCGGCAATTAGATTGGCAATCAAATTGTGTCGTGTGGTAGGGGTTTAAGAACAAACTCACTTTTCATTTCGGAATCCGCGGTGTAATTGAAAAATGCAACACGAATTAAAAAAAAAGTCGAATCACCCCGTTATAGTACGTCCTACGAAAGATGAGACTTGACGGACGCCGTACCGCGCCTCCCACGCTCTTTCCGCCACCCCGATGGCGTCCGGTCTCTTCCGCTCTCAGACCTGATACCGCTAAAGAGACATTTAAATCGTCTACTGCGCATTTCGAACCACGTGGTGCGTCAAGTCTCGGGAAACGATTCCGCGGCGAAAAGTAAGTTTGACTGTATACACTTGAAGAAACTCTCTGAAATAGGTTTTATACATCTAAAAATAAAAACCAGCAATATGAGTAACAGTATAATTTATTGAATTCTCAAATATAAATACCGAGAGGAAATATTCAGAATAATAATATAATTAATGTAATAATGGCGGGGACACCCACCCGCATTAGTAAAGTTTTACTGACCGTCTCGACTTAATAAAACTGTTCTTTTAACTTTTTGAACTTGCGTTGCACATCAATACTGTTATTTTTAATAAGAAAAAAGATTGGGCATATCTACTTAGGTACATACCGCAAAAACATATTAAAACAAATTATTGCAGTCTTCTTGCACGGAGACATAATAAGAAATGATGGATTAACGACCGTACTTTACTTTGCCTATATCCGATAATCTGTCTCTTTGTATTGCATTGAAAATTTGTTCGACCAGAGCAGGACAGGTATCACGGACTTTGATACTCTTATGAGTACTCATTTATTTATCATCTTTCTCGCTCTAGAGAACTATAAATATAGCACAAGATATATAAAGATTTATGTAAAATTATAGATATTGCTTTTGTCATCACTTTGCTCATTGCAATATTATAAGAGATATAATCGACTTAAGATGACGTCTTGAGTTTACTGTT